TATGTTCCTAAATTTTAAGAAAATTTAAAATGTATTTTTAAAAATTTCAAGAAAATTTTTAAAATTTACTTTCAAATTTAAAAAATAAAAAATTTTAGAAAATTTATATATTTTATTTTTAAATAAAAACGATTCTTTCGTTTTTAAAAATATTTAGCACATGCGTTGATACTGCCAACATTATTATCTTTCCGTAATTTAAATATCCGCACCAACATTAGCTCTTACTTGTTATTTCTATTCTCAATTTAATTGTACACTTCGAAAATTACACAGTTAAAAAAATGTTTAAAGTTTAGAGATAATCCGTGAATCCGAAAGTTACTTTCGCGTTAAACGTAGTGGAAAAAGTCTTGTTCGATGTGTGACAGTCAATTACTTAAATTCATAAGTGACATCAGCACTTCTCGAAGAGCATCGGAGAAACGCGTTTGTTCGCATTGATCGCGGTTGTCCATCGCGCCGCGTGAGCCCAGTGAATGATGTTGGCCATTCAAGCACGCCGGTTAAACCGGGACAGAGAGCGAATCGGTCTCGGCCATCGGACTCTAATCGAAGACTATCGTTATGGGAAAAAGTCACGTTCGTGAGCAATGTAACGTGGCGTCATTAGCGCGCGTGATTCCCCCGCTGCCTCTCTTGTGCCCCTCGCCGCAGCGCAATGAACGTATCGTGACCCACCTACCAATACATTCATCTTGTCCTGACCTTTCGCGGGGAAAGGTATCTCTGGTGCTTTTATGGGACAAACATGACGAAGATCAAAAGCATACATACCGTGTGTACATGCGGGCGCTCGCACTCCTGTCGCGCCATCGCCGTAGATCGCGTCTCCTCGAGCGAGACGTTCCGCGAGACTACGTAACCTTTCGCTACGTCTTGCCCCTGGCCGGATACCAATCGTCCCGATTACCCCTTTGAACTCGTCCATTGAGATATCCGCGAGAGATAACGCGAGAGACGACCTGGCTATTTTTGACGTGACCTTTGCGACTATGAAAGCGAATTTAGTGAGGTGGCAAAATATTCATCGCGTGTTTCTCATTAGTCACTGATAGTATGCTGTGAGTACACTGAGAGAGAAAACATTCATCTAATCATATTATTTTTTGCTTAATAGCATTTTTTGGTTGTTTTAGCACGAGAAGGAAAGTGATAACATGCATATAGTTATCTTGTCAACTAATATTATAGTAGAATCTAATTTTAAAAAATGGCTTTCTTAACCACGATTTATAGCCATTATTTCTCTGTGTGTGTGATTATTAGTTACAAATACCAAACACTTTTTTCTCGGTATAAGAGCGCCCAGTAGTATTCCGAATTCTGTAGAACGACGCAGTGTGCACACGTGGAACGGCGCAATCGACAATAGGATCACGTCTAACTCGATTAACCATTATTTAATACGATTACTGTTCTTGACCGATCACTGCTCGGCGACAGCTGCCTTTGGAAATCATGTGAACGCAACTCTTCGTTCAAGACGCTGCAAATTTTGATCAAACGCAGAGATATAAATAATAACAACAATAATGTTATTTATTGGTCACAAAAAAGAAGGAAATTAACATCACAAATCTTTTCGAGATTTATGGAGACGATTTGAGTAATATTGAGGATATAAAACCACGGTACACAGAAAAGCGTAAACAATGAGCGATGTAGATACGATACAGTAGTCTTATATATTCTCGATAAGCCTCGAGTGTAATTGGCCAATGTAATTAAGTAAAGCGCATTGCTTACGTTTTTTGGCGCGCCATGGACAATTCAACGGTCGAATTGCTCGACACTTTTCGCAGATAAATCGCTTGTTTTCAAAACTGCACAAATCCTAGGTCTTATGAATAATTATGCATTTTAATCGATAATATTATGCATATATGTTGCGTGAATTTTAATGAGGAATACGCAATGTAAATCGACGCCGCGCGGTCATTTCCAGCAGAATCCACGATAACGTGCATCAATTTTGGCACAAACGACACGAAGGCAATTGCAATTGACAAGAGAGAGCGAGAAGGGACATTGCAATGTTAGGCATTAATCGATCAAAATTTTCTTTGACTAAAATAATCGGCAAATCAATAATCAAAATTGGTCAATCGTCATATATTAAATCGCAAATAATTTCACATTATTTGATGAAATTAATCAAACTTTGATGTAATTGATATCATAAATTGATAATCAATTTCATCAATCAACTAAAATGTTTCCGATTACAGTGAAAGAAACATTATCTGAAAAATAAAAAAAAAAATATTTATTCGGTGTATATACTAATAATATACTATTGAAATCTATATCCTCCTATTTATGTAAAATAGACGATTACTTTCATGAAAAGCTAAGATTTGCCGATTATTTTGATTAAATTCGATTCCTTTTTTAGTCGATGTAAAAAACATCGAAGAATATGAGTCTTTTAATGTTTCCGCGCCTCAATAATGTTGAAGAAAGTTCTAATGAAAAAACGAAACACATGTTTTTAAGAATGGTCATGTTTGAAAAGTCGGTGTGGGTAAATTTCAGGCATATTTAAGATTCCAAGCTTAGTTCCCAACGTTGGAACTGAGAAACTCATATTTAACTCTAAACTTAAATATGAGTGTCTCGAGTCCTGTATTAATAGTCGTTGCTTGAAACTTGCCTCGAGTGAGGCACTCATATTTAAGTTCAGGATTAAATATGAGTTTCTCAGTTAAATCATATTGACGAAATGTTTGACCGTCATTGGCTTTCCAGTTGTTGGTGGCTCTGGTCGGGTTTGCCCGCGGGCAAGGACCCTACTTCCAGGAGCCGGAGAAGATTGTGAGCGAGTCGCGGGATCTCGGTGACACTCGCGGCCATTATTCCTTCTCCTACAAGACGGAGGGTGGCATATTGCAGAGCGAGAGCGGCAGTCGCAAGTACGCCGGCACCGCGGACGAGACGCAGCTGATCCAGGGCTCGGTGCAGTACAACGCACCGGACGGCACCCCGATCGCCATGAGCTGGACCGCCGACGAGTTCGGCACCCAGGTGTCCGGCACCCACATCCCGACGCCGCCGCCGATCCCGCCGGCGATCCAGCGCGCCCTCGAGTGGATCGCCAAGCAGCCCAGCACCCCGGAGCCGATCGAGAAGGACAATCCGACGTCCAACGCGGTCCCCCGCGACAATCGCCAGTACAAATTAATCCCGAACAAACGAAACTGAACTGTAACTGGCATGAAGTGAGACAAGAGAAAAATAACACGCTCAGTCCAACTCCCCTCCCAGCGACACTGCCAAGATCCTCTGCACTTTCTCCCTCTCTCTCTTTCTCGTCCACGCAATGTGACGCACAATAAATTTGTATTTTTATAGAAAAAATGCCGAGAAGATTGTTTCAATCGTGTTCTTCAACTGAGTGTAGCGGGGGGTCGCGTTACTTTTCATATGTAGCAGGTTATCACAAAAAAAAAACAATTCCAAGGAGATCGTTTCAACAGCGTTCTTGAGTCAATTGTAGTGAGGGTCACGTTGCTTCTCATGTAGTAGGTAGCCGACGTCGGTCGGAAGGTGCTTAGGGAAAATTGGGAACGAACGGAGACTCTTTCGTTTCTCATATGTTCCGAGCAGTTTGTGCGCATGATCTCGTATTTTTATAAATAAATGTAATTGCTTTTTTTATATCCTGTGAGTGTATCTTTATTCTCCGTGGCGTTTCACGTCGTCGTTATCTCTCAAGTAAATCAATTCGGTAAGTATGTAACGTTCTGCCGTATGTATGATGATGAGGTAAGTATGATCCAGAGTCGCTTAACGCGTGCATTACGCACTCACTTTTCTCACACTATGAGAACTTCGTTGAGCAAGTCCATTATCGGTCATTTGCATTCTAAGAATTTCACTCGCTATTTAAAATCTCTTATAAAACTCGAAGGTGCCGTGGCGGATGCTTTTTGGTCTTGAATTAGTTTAAAAACTAATTCAACTTAATTAGTTTAAAAACTAATTCAACTTAATTAGTTTAAAAAATAATTAAGAGCGCGCGTGTGGTCGCTCTCTAGTTTGGATTTAAAATTTTAAATTCTTTGCTTTTGAAATTTAAACATTTAGAAATTAAATTTAGAAATTAATTAAAACACTAGAAATTTATATTTAAAGATGTTTGTATGCAGTCTTAAAGTTTAGAGTTAGATTTAAAAGCCCACAGACACTGTCTCGTGATGTTTTTTAAGTTCTTTGAAAATTTTAGATGGCGTTGCTGTGGTGTTTTTGGAGCGCAAAGGTTGTAGCAGTGTAAAATTAAAATAAATCCTTTCGATATAAAGACAATAACCATTCGTGGCTAAACATACGTTGATGCTTAATGAATAAAAAACACATTGAATCCTTTAATGCGCATATATGCCACTGAATGTCCCGTTATATCCGTTCGATTGAAACATTTTTCGATCGGACTCCGCTGTACCGAAAGGATTAAAGGCTATTATTGCATATTGATGTTGTTAAATTTAGTCTGCAAATACATAAACGTGATCCACCGGGATGTATCGATATTTAATATAACATGGACCGTAATTACGGATCTTTTCATATGCTGTGCGTTATCACGATTTGCTAATGTAAATGTTGTCCTTGTCGACATTACAATTAATGCACTGCGTAATAGCACAGCGTGCTCTTGCAAATAATTCGCGATTCCGCCTAGAGAGCAATTTTCTGTTCTTCGAAGCTCGAATACGAAGAATTACGTGCAATTTATGATATATCTGAGGCTTATATTAATAGTCGTCATTTGAAACTTGTTCCGAACAAGATACTTAAATTCCAACTTGGAGTTAGATGCGAATTTTTCAGCTGAATTATGATTACAAATACAATGTCACGTATATCACATATGATTCAACTAAAAATTTCACACCTAACTCCAAATTCCAATCTGAGTGTCTCACGAGAGGCAAGTTTCAAGTAACTATTATTATCACGAGTCTATGTTTTGTATTAATAGTTGTTGCTTGAAGAGAACTCAGATTTAACTCTATATTCAAATTTCGGTATCTCACGCGAGACAAGTTTCAAATAATGACTATTAATGCGGACCTAAGACCTTTTTAAGTACACGTAGGAATTCGAAGGATGACGAAATCGATATTCGCGGTCGAGTATAATACCGATCGCGGTCACCTGCTTAGTTGACGACGTACGTACGAGCCGCACCGTCGTCCCGTGTACCTCTATAAAGCAGCGGATCATAAAAGAAGTTCTCGCGAAACGGCGCGCAAAGAAATTCGCAAGAACCAAACTCTTCCGTAACTTTATGGTCGCCCGGACGCTTTTACGGTCTCGTTAACTGCCGTCGCTCGTTAAAAGTACCATAAACGCGACAATTAACGTAACCCGAGCTACCCGTCTATCTGGATTCCACCCTCGAACGAACGAACGAGCACCGATCCAACACATACATACACACAGTTTGCATATCGATTAGAATTTATTTACAGCATATCATCGGAAATATTGTCCGTGTACACAGGTGTCGTGCAAAAAGAGAGAGAGAAAAATATTACAGGTTCGAGCGCAACAACGCAGAGACGCAGAGCTCCATCCAGCCGCGAGGGGAGGGGACGACGTGAGCCTCAAAAGAGACTCGTCGTCTTTGCGGGCGTCGAAATCTTCGTCGATCTTCGCGACGATTCCGATCGGGTCTGCGCGCTCGATCGCTCCCGACCTCACTTCCTCCCCCAAGACTCGTCCTCGATACTTCATCTGACTATCTATCTATCCGTCTCCCGTCAAACAACTCGTGTCCCTTATTGCGATTCGTTCTCCTCGGGGTGCTGGGCGATGTACTCGAGGGCCTTCTGGATCAGAGGCGGTACCGGGGGTGCGGTGGGCAGGTGAGCGCCCTCCGGTTGGAATCCGTTCTCGTTGGCCACGTACGTCACCTGGTAGACATTACCGTCTTCGCCGGTGTAGCTGAAGCTGCCTCGGGCCTCCATCCCCTCCCCGTCGGTGTTCTGGTGGGTGAGCTGGCCTTCTTCCTGGGCCTGGATGCCGTTACCGGTCTCGTAGTGGTAGTTGTAGGAGCCGTCCGGATTCGGCCCGTCCAGGGCCTGCTTTACGATGGGAATCGGCGAGGTGTCGTCGACGGGCGCAGCCGCCGCCACCGCCGCGAGAGCGAACAAAACGATTGCCTGAGAAAAATTGCGAATTCTCCCTAAGGTCAACTTGTTTCGATCAATTCGGGTTCCAGAGATAGGAGACAAAAAGACGTGACCCTGAATGGCTCAACGTCGATGAATATTTCAAGTTACTAACGGACTTTCTACGTTAACAATAACTTGTAGCAATTAATATGGTAACAATTAATTTGCAATAACAATATGACAATTTTCATTCATTATTAAGCTACAATGTTATCAATCGTTTGACGACAATTTAATAGCACGTAATACACGCGTGGTTGTGACAAAATTAGTACTTTCCTTTACGATGAGTTCAAGAATGAGAAAAAATCTTCAGGATAACCTCAGGATTTTTTTAGACGTGCGTTAAAATTCATTAAAACGATAGATGTCGCAATTATTTTTTTTACTACCTTAACTTTGGATCTATGCTCATTAGAGAATTTCTTGGCTGAGCAAGAGATTCAAGTGACGGCACAAATGTTAAATGAATTAAATAAAGATATTACACAAGAACATCATACCTGCCGGCTCTTATTGACCTTAATGGCTTATATTGATATTTAATTTGTTCCAAGAACGAGTCACTTGCTGTTAGAAACGGCCAATTACAGTCAGTACAGGGACTGGATATACTCAGATATCGTGACTGATAATCACTTGAGAAAACGGCAATCATTATTACCCTTTTCATATATGAATTTATACTTTACGTTGCAAAGTTATCATTTCTGAAGATTTCAATCGTCATTGCAATTTCTTCAAGTAATCAATATAATTATGAGTTTTTTATCAATAAATATATGACAAATATTTAGACTGCGATGCATACGATATGAAATCTCTAGTAACCGAAAGTCCAGCGAGAGTTCGGATATTTATGTCGTTTTTGCGCGTATCAACCAGTTATATTTTTAGAAGAGAGTCCACAATTGTGTAAAAGATGAACTGCCTGTACCAATTGCGCGCTCTCTAGTCAAGCGCACTCACTTTGCGCAATTATTTATCAGTTAATTAAAACGTCCCAGCTGTGTGATCTTGTTAACAATACGACTGTGTGGCCTTTGCAGTGCGTTCTCTTTCTCTCTTACGGCTAAGCGTGAAAATTAGCATCATGGTTGTCCGGGATCGCGAGAAGAGCCGGTTGCGCCATAAAGCCGCACGCTCGCTTTACAAAAAAGAAAGAGAGACAATCGAAGATTCGACGGTCTACAGATGTCTCACGCCACCGCATTACGTAACGCGGGGTCTGTTATTCTCGCACGAGAAACTGGAACTCACCAATCGACTCATGTTGAAAAATAGATATTATTTTTGCTAGCTGCCGCTCGGAAGCTTCTCACTGCACTGACTTAAGATCTCGTGCACACCTTCCGCTTTATATATCCTCCATCCGAAGATTCGGGGACCTTCTGGTAAGGTAATACCTTATTTAGTCCCCCTCCATCCCCCGTGGGCCCCGGTCTCATCCTCCCACTCCGAATGAGCTACGGCATACGGTCCGAAATTTGCGGATGAGCGTGCGGAACGCACGCACGCGCACGCACACGCGTGCAGGATCTCTCGTGTCCTCGGGAGGACTTCAAACCTGAGGTCATGCCGGTGCCTAGAACTGCGAAAGGTCGTCGTCTGAATTTAGCCACGCCGGCCACTCGCTCGTTTCGAATCCGATGGCGAGACAATATTCAATTTCTGGCCATCTGCAAATGAGACAAAAGTGATGTCCACTTCGGCGAAACGGTTGCATCAGTCGACGAAAACCGCGACGACGCCGGCCGACGTGCGTCGCATACGAGAGATCTCTTTCCTCTTCCTTCGTTCTTCTAAGGGCGCTCACGCTCCAAATGGAGGCGCGTCGCGGCCTCCATTTTTCGCGCGAGGATACGCGACGTACCCAGACGTGCACGTTGTCCGGGAATTTTTTGCGTTTCCAGCTGATAAATGCGCGACCCCGTTCGCGAGCCATGCGTTTATTCTTATCGATCGTCACGATTTGCATTTGGAGCCTCCATGTGACGCGCACGGCGCTAATCTCGCGCATTTCGTGTTTCAATTATCATACTATTTATAAGACAGAGAGACAAAGAGAGAGAGAGAGTGAGAAAGGTAGATATATTCCGATCGTGCTTTGAAAGAGCCGTGATTTCGGGAGATGACACGAGGCAAAAGCGAAATGCCGCGAGAAAATTAATTAGGGGAGACTGGGTCTAGATGGACTCTCGAGGTACATTGCTCATGTGCTTCTTTTGATATTTATCTTGAGTATCCATCATAGTGGATACCTAATCGCGAAACAGAAATTAGGACACAGGCATTTTTTCCCTGAGTTTCACTAAAAGCGAAATAACATTAAGTTAAAAAGTAGAAAAAACTGATTTAGCGATAGCAAAATAAATTTTCGAGCCTTTCGACAGTTTGTATTAATATTCTCCATCTTGAATAAATAAAAGTTAGGCGGCGTGTTACTAGCTAGAATGAAGTTTCTGCAAGTTTATGATACACTGTTTCGGATAATATATAGCAATTTTCATTCATAATATGATTGAAATCGTGCATGTGGGCGGGCGAAATAAAATTGACTCATAATTAAGGGTCGACGGAAGAGCTGTGAAGATCTTTCGTAGAAATTCCAAAACTTCTAACCAGGATACATATTTCATATGTAGCCTTCTTGTTCCGCGCTATATTAGGCAACTGAACCCGCTAGAGTAAGATGATCACGCTGTTGCATGTTTGTATTTTAGTTATTACAAAACAAATATGTAATTCACAGAAGCGTAACGGGCCTTAACATATAGAAAAAGGCTGCTTCTGTCATGTTTGTACAGTCAGTCACAACAATTAGTTGTCTGAGAAGTTGTAACTTCGAAATTCTGGAGTATGAGACGTCTAGCACCGGTCTCGCTTATTAGCCTCGCTTTCTTTCCTTTACTCAAGCGAGGTTTTACAACTCAGCCATACCAACGTGGGTAATTATGGCAATTATGTGTGCATGCGGAGTTACGCGATAACAAGCGCGTTCCATCGTTCTTATCAACCATCCTCTGTGGATTGCGTAACGTGGAGCATCTCAACTGCGCTTTATTGCAATTTTTAACCGTCTGTTGCCAAATCCATTTCACCCTGAAAGATGATAAAAATCGGGATCGACGCAGTGAGCCGTCATAGAGACATTTAGAAAGACATTTAAGATGTGGGCCACGATACTTCCCGATAAAAATGCAGGCAAACGAACTAGAGTATAAAAAATTGATTTGCAATATTTTCTGGAGGAACCGTTCAGAATCGAGAATTAACATTCGGGGGCGATCCCACATTACGTCACTGTTTTCTACGTCTATTTAGGAGGGGGACAAGGGCTTCACCTCGCGCCCGCTGCAATCAATCTCTTTAAACGACGAATGATCGTTCCCCCGAATGATTACCGCGATCGCCGTTCCATTAGATTACGATTAACGGGGTGTAATTTTATCGGACGTTCCTGGGAAGGAATCCGGTCGGAGAGCGACTCTTTTCTTCATTATGCATGATCATATTTTTTCTTTTCTTGTCTTTTTCTCTTCCTTTTGCAAGGATGCAGGAGAGAAGGAAGATCTCGCGCGTAACTCGCCGCTAAAGGCGGATGAAGTCACGACGGAATTTTTTTTCTCTCCTCCTTTACGCCGCGAAGAAGATGCAGCCGGGCGCGACGATGATGAACGCGTCATTGGAATGTAGAAAAAGATGGACACCCGTTCGTTTTAAAGGACAAGGTGTGATCACACCGGGGAGATATCCACATATTCATGATATGTTAAAGCGCCGCGCATAAGAGATCTCGGTTGATGTAATCCACCGTAATCGAACTTGGACTTGCCGTTGGACTGTCAACACCGTCGCGATGTTCGTCTCCCCCCCCCCC